TTTTTTTGTAGTCAACTCTCATTTCCTTTCTTAGTCGGAAAAAATAATACTTCTAAGTATCTATTTCATTTTCTAAAGATATCATAAAAATGACATGAAAATGGAAGGTGATGACAAAAACAAGGTAGCGATGAGAAAATACCAATGCGTTTCTGACAACGAGACATTTGCTTGCCAATCACATTGTCTGGATATGATGGTTCTTATCTGAAGAATTCTTTTCTACATGATAGAGCAGTGACGCCTTCAATGCTCCGAATTACACGGCATAATCGATGTTTTCTGTGAGACAGGATAGTGTGTGGTGCAGCCAAGTTCTTATAATTCTTGGAAAAGATGTGTAATATGCACTATAAATAAATTATACCATACCTGCTGCTGTTTCATGTAATGTGGAGGAAAATTCTTCCGATGACAGTCACAATAGCCAGGCAATGGAGTCGACAAAAAAATTTCCTCGCTCTCTAAAGAATGTTAGTATATTACTTCCGACACTATTTTCTCTTCATCATCTTTCATTTTTCATAGCATCCTTACAAAAATAATGTAGATACTAGAAAGTATTATTTTTTCCAACTCAGAAAGAAAATGAGAGCTGAGTGAAAAAAACAGTAATTTTTTCCGGGAAAATGGAAGTAAATGTAAAATATTAAATATAACAGACGTAGAGTATACGAGAAAGAAAGCAAAAGCGACAGTGCATAAAAAAAAGAAAAAGAAAAAGAAAAAGTAACGCAACTAAAAGGAATTCGAGTTATTTTCAAAAGGATGTATTAGAAAAAGTTGCATTCATACATCGAACTTATCAAACATATATCCTTCTTACATCTCAGCTACTACAAGAGTTGTACACGCAACTATTTTTGAACATATAGTGGGTGTGGGCATGTGGGGTGTGGATGTATGTAAAGAGAAGAACCACACCCCATCCACGCTCACACCCCACACCCACCACGCCCCATCCCATTCCCCACACCATCATCCACACCCACACCAATGATATTCCTCATTGAGAATGATTTCTTTATAAAAACAGATTTCAATCTAATTCTTCTAGAAACTATAGTCAGGTAACCATCACTCATAGTTGATTATAGCCGATTGAAAATATGATTTGATGGAGAAATCTGATCTCAATCCAGATTTTAGTGCAGAATAATCAGGTTTACGATTGGGATTATGTCGCCAGGGTTTTTCAATTTTAATCAATTTCAATCACCGAAATTTTACTCTCAAATAGGTCGATCTATTTCTCGACTGATTCATCCTTCACCATCATCCTCAGATTTTTTTTGAGATGGATATTAGTTATTTTATTTTAATTAGTTATCTATTGAAGATTATGATCAATTCAGTTAACAAATGAACGATGATCTGAATTTATACAGAGCTGATAGCTGATTAGATGAGTGATTGCAATATTAAAGCATTTGTCAATTTCTAAAGCACAAGCTCGTTACAGGATTAAATCAATAGAAGAATTTTATCGAACTGTTCTTGACACTTTTTCATATTTGGATCATCGAGTGTCATAAATGCTTGACATCCAATATCGACAGCTTTCTTTGCATGCTGAAAGGCATTATCAATTTTGTTCAAACGTTCAAACATAATCGACATATAAAAATGAGTTTCGGCCAGATGTGGATGATTTGGTTGTAGCACTTTTTCTTGAATACCAAGTGCTTTTTCGAGACAATTCAGTGCACGCAAATTATCGTTCATTGTCGAATAGAGCAAACTGATGTAACTATATGTCATTGCCAAGCGAGCATGAGTAGGACGTAAATGTTTGCGTAATATTCGCAGTGCACGTTTATGACTAGTCCATGCTTCCGACAATTTATCCTGTTTTTGTGTGTACCCAACCAATATAATTGTAACGATCCACTATGAGTTGATAATCAAGTAGGCCGAACGGTTTTACGGAGTAATCACGATATCATGTGATCAGCTTGTTCAATAGTTCGGCCATGACCGAATGGAATTCATCTTCATTAATTTGTACGTTGCTAAGTACATTTCTAATTGTCGAAAAGACAGTGAAGAGGTCGCTTCTGGCTTCATCAACAACAATACTCTCATCGAGTACTGCTATACTGAACATTTTATGTAAATGTGCTCTTGCTCGTTCCCAATCATTCTTGTATAATGAAAATAGTTCGACCAGTTGAAAGTGTGTCATTTGTTCGGACTTTAAATTATTTTCGCACGTGGCCTTGTCAAGGATCATTTCATATATTTTAAGTGCTTTGTCATATTCACCCATATGTACAAGTAGTTTAATTAATCGCTATGTACAATCCATATTGATTTGAAGGTCAGAGTCAAGGAAAGAACTGAGATCCATACGCATATGTTCTGTTAATTGACGAAGGTGTTCATCATCGGCATTAGTTAATGTTAAATGAACCTTCCTAAATCGCGGCTTGTTATCATCAGTCAGTGGTTTTATTTCACCAATACGAAAGACGGTATGCATTGAAAAGAGGATTTCTTTTTCTGTCTCTTGAAAATAGCTGTGTTTATCAAGTGATGCAAATGGTACCGACGGATCAATATTCATTTTATATATAACAGCCACTTTTTCTGGCTTTTGTAGAGCTTTTTGACAAAAACATAGTAAAACTTCTTTCGATGTACTTGTCGACAAAAAATTGTTAAACGAAACTAGGTACTAGTTGTTGTCCCAATGAGCCCGAAACAATTAAAAAAACCTTTTCTTCTTTCACTTCATTATTAATAAAATCGATACATGACTCCTATGTAATCAAATGTTTTGATTGCATTGACAATATGGCGGAGTGCTGTAATTGATATTTGAATATCATTATTCATTCTATTTCTGCGACAAAGTTTCGAGTCCACTCAGATAATAATAAAATTTTCAATGAAACGATTTTCTTGTTATTGATCAGCCATAACTTATTCACATACGTCGATCATTACTTTTCATTATCAAAAGGTAGTTATTTTATTATACTTGCTATCAATCGAGCAAAAAGACAAGAAATATGATGTCTCATTTCACTGAGCCCATCACAGTCAATGAAGCATGATAATTAATGTAAAGTAACGTATCATGTGCGTTTTTAATGTAGAACGCACTAAAAAAAAAGAATATTTTCAAAACATCATATGAAATACTTTACAAACTTGATAAACGATGAATAAATTTAATATTCATGGTGATCAATAAAGATAAAGAGATATTGCTTTTCAGAGAAGAATAGAAAACTACTGAATCTTTAATTCCCTCAGTCGAAGTGAGGGTCATATGAAATAAAAATGAGTTTGTTTGCTTGTACTTGTAGAGTCACATGTGCACGTATATTTGTGTGACGATTTTTTATGAAGTATTACCTAAGGTAATCAGAGTCTTGGGTGTGGATGTGAGAGTAAATGTAAATCAATCGAAAAACAGATTGATATCTATCTCTTAACGAAGAAGACAAGTTCAGTCTGCTGGGTATCAACTTTTGCTTTTCAGCAAGCAATCAAGTCGAATGAATATTAAATTATAGATAATGTACTTAATAAAATAATCAATAAAAAGAAATGCAGAGTTATTTATTGAAATATAAACATTCACCAGTGCTCTACATTACAAATTTTAAGCACAAACAGAGCAAAAGAGAAAAATTTTAAATTAAAATTTATTTAAGAGTAGAAAAGGAATAAATCAAAAAATGAAACAATTTTAATATATAAAACCGTTTTTTGGTGAGAGGCTGGAAGATGTTTAATTTCACTGTCGATAAGAAATATTTCAAGGTTCAATTGGACAACAATAAATGAATATCTTCATTTTTTTAATCGTGGTAACAAAGTAATTGATCAAATTGGAAACAACTATCAAAAGAAGTTGTGTTTCTGGAAGAAATATTAATTATAAGATATAATAGTAAAATAATCAATTATCGAATAAGATATAAGCCGACACTATTTAGTTTTTGAACTGAGTTTATAATAAATTTTCTATCGAAAATCATTCTTAACTTTATCAATATGTATATAACATAGTCTTGAACACCTAAACTCCATAATAAATTCAGAGAAATATAATTATTTTGAGTAAGAAATAAGTCGAGTTCGACTTTCAAGGTGGAAACGTTTGTATCAAATAATAAAATAAAATAATGTACGCTAACTCGTATAATGATTCAATAATATAAAATCGAATCAAATATCCAAAATGCGAAACAAATTGAACTGTTTTAAGTCATAACAATTTAAATTCATATTGTGATAGATCAACTTATAATACGAAATCAAGCCATTAAAATTTAAATACTGCAAAAAATAGTATATTTAATTGTATTTCAATAATATAATTTTGATGATGGTCGAAAGGATCTGATTTTTCTTAGGTAAATAATACATATAATTATAATTCATATCTTTATATTCCTTGAATAGATGATTATTTTATATCGATAGATATATATTCCAAATTCAAAAATTATAAGTGAGTCATTTATAATCAATAAAAATGAATAAACCATTTATGATAGTTATCACAAAATGAAACTTAAAATATTTATAGTTATACTTAAATTTGTTTCAACTGACTATATATACATAGTACTGATTACAGACATAAAGAAGTTAGTTTATATCGAAACATAAATTGGCTGTCAAGGTATGAATGTGAGTGTTAGTCTGCTTTCCACTCATATAAACACTTCATTTACATGCATCAGTGGATAATCCTCATTGACCTTTTTTAAGAAGTTTAATTCAGCATCACGTCTATTACATACACACCCACACCCAGAGGTGGCAGCAACGTTTTCTTTTGATAGTTATTCTAGAAAATTGTTATATTCACTAAGATGTGAAAGCAATACCTTTGAAGTTTGAGAATCAAAGAATAGAAATATTCTATATTGAGATACTAAATCGACACTAATTCTTATCTTAATTAATCATACATAAACAGTCTGTAAGAAAAAAAAACAGCAGAATTATATTTCAGAAAAGCTATAAAATAGAAAGCATTATTGTGTCTTTTTCTCAGAAGGAATTTGTTTATCATTTTTCCAGTCATAATATCGTAATAATGTGAGTAACCATCCAAGAATATTAAATCCAAATGCAAACGAATGGTAAAAATTTAAATCTCGAGCAAGATGTTTTGAAGGTTTTTCAGCTAGATGCGATTCTAACGGCATTATACAGACGAACATCGTGTATACTATACCAAAGAATTGTATAGCTTTTAAAATATCGATCACATTACGTCGGATCGTAGCTTTTTTAGTAAACATGTGAATTAAATCACGAAGTGCATCGATCATGGATAATGGTAAAATAATCATTGTACATAATTGCCACCATTTCCATATTGGTGCTTGACCTTTGAATATTATATATTCTTGATAAAGTTCGGGTTTCTTCTCTCGTAGCACATACATCGACAAACTGAAATCAATAAGTTCCACAGTTAAAAAATATGTACCTATGAATAAACCAATGATTAATTGTGATGTAGAAAATGGATTTTTGTATTGATTAACATCGACATCATTGATACGTTTGACAGTTGACATCTTTTCCAAGGGCAAATGATATTCTTATAAATCTATGGTGAATAAGAAAGAGAAGTCAATCAAAAAAATATATGGATTTCAAATGAATACAATACTAATATCTTGAGTATCTTTAAGACAGGTAAGGAAATCAAAACAAGTGATCACATACTAACGTAAGTTGAAAAGATTCACACGACAATAGCAATTACGTAGAGAGATTCTGCCCGACTAGAGACAAAAAAAAAATCTGACTATCTCTAAGATGAATCTTCTCACTAACTATTCACATTACATCGAACAACAAAAATGTCAACTTTCATAGTTATCACTATCTGATATCGACACAAATGATAAAGGCTAACAAAGTCTTCATTTTATACTCAAACACTAGTAACATTATTTTTTGCTTGTTTATTATTCATGTAAAAAAAGGTATTTTTCGTCTTCATTGTATACTACCCTCGTGCTTTGAAGAAATATGACGAACACTGCTACCTATTTTACTGTGATCGATCGTATGTATTGATTTAGCAGAACGAAAAAATTTAGAAATAACTACATGTTGATATTCTCGACTAGTAAGATAGATTTTTATCCATATAAAAGAGAAAGAAAGGCGAGTATTGATCAACAAATATTAAGGCGCACAAGAGAAAGATTTCTTGATTAAGGACAAGGATGAATGAGTAATAGTAATAATCTTTTTTGAATTCTTACCGTTAGGTAGGCAACGAACCATGAAGTAAATTATGATGTTTGCCAATGACAATTTTAAGGTTCGATATTTTTGCAC